AGGGAGACGGTTAATAGACAAACTTTACTCCCCATCTAGTCCAATCATGAACAAACATATACCATAAAGATTACAGGCCTATTGCACTTTTTCAGCTACCATTCAACAGCAAATTATAGTTGCATTTGCTGCTTCTTAACTTCATTGTAGTACAACTTGGTATTTTTTCTTATATTTCAGTATCATTTGGTCTATTGTTATCATATTACATAAAATCACTTATTTTTTCAGCCATTATTTTATATTTTCTTTTAGCTTTTTTCCCCTAAATTTGGATTTGTTCTTGAACTTACATGCGTCTGTGTTTAAAAGCTCAAACATGGTTAAATGTCCACTACTAAAACTAACAGCCTCGGCTTTATGTAAAACAACAAAAAAAATTGCAGAAACTGAATTGCTGCCAAAAAAAAAAAAGATAGCTTGGCTTGTAATGAGGCTAAACCACAAAATCACACTCTAGTTAGACCTTTTAAATAATTCGAAAGGAAGTACCTTAATTTCGCAACTAGTTAGATAGTCAAGTTTTATACTGCCCGGAGTACATTCATAAAGATGGAAGCGAAGAATTCCTGTTTCTTCGTGTAAGACCATATTGAATGTTGAATTCCATTTGGGATTAGATCCTGATCTCACATTAGTTCTCCTAGTTAACTCTTCAAGTTCAACCTCCACAAACGTCTGCAGATTTTCGCCAGAGTAATCCTCTAAACTGCCGTCTGTGGAATGATTTTGATGTCTTCTTGATGCACTAACTCTCAAGCTACCCCTTGAGAGTTTACTAGCCGAAATGACTGTTACATATATGATACCACCAACTGCCTTTTTCCTTAAATCTACAGCTGGCAAAGAGAAACAACGGCGACGAGGTTCAACCATTGTCCTCTCTAAGGTGTCAGTTAAAACTTTAACCTGCATTGAGAATTAAGAACAATTATAATAATAAACTTTTTTCATAAAGAAGATATTAGTCTGCCAATATAATCAGCCAAGATGCGACAAATACAATGCTTTCCAAGGATTTAGCTGGTATTTGGTTCATTTACCCTCCAACTTCTAGTAAATTCTTAGTTCTGACTCTCATTTTAGTCTTAGTGAGAACTATAATTTGTTATGTTTGAATTATCACTTATCCATCTTGAATTCTTTGGTGGGGAGTATTAATTGAAGATAGGACTGATGGTAACTCAAACACAACAACGTATTACAATTAGTATATTAAGACTAATAGAGAATTAGAAGTAGATATTATGTAAGAACTAAATGGGAAAGTAACCACATGCAACATTAATGACTTCTGCTTAAATTCAACAATCTTTGATGAGACATATGAGAGTAAGGTAATTAGATATATTTATCCTTGTGCCAAAAAATTTCTCAAAGGATATAGATAAGAGTCAAAATTCCTCAACAAAGTAAAGCGGAAAATGTGTGAGATGGAGCAGTAAAATACTTCATAAAAGACAAGGAACCATATGCTGAAAGAGATTTCACAAAGATAATAATTCTATTACTATGACAATTTGTAATTTTCCTTTTTGTCAACGAATCAAATCTTACTCCTTAAAATTGGTAAAATTGTTCCAGAACTAGTCTTGTGAAAGATGAAATTCAACTTATCAGTGCATAGTACACATCAAAATTGCCAAATAAAACTATTTAACATTACAAGAGCATAGGAAAATATTAAATAGAAATAAAAAGTAAAGCAAATTCTTAAATGATTTGTTATCAACTAGAAAGCATCAGCTAAGAGAAGTACTAGCCAAGATGAGACGCCAGGAAGCTCTGTCGCAGGTAATGATTGGCTTCCGCCACTCCCAAAGGCAACTCCTATTCTGACTTCGGGAGTTGAATCAAACGAGAATAAAATTGCCTTCCCATCCAGAATTGGCATCAATAAAAGCTGTAAAAGAGAAATTCACTGGAATAAGTATCAAATAGAAACAATAGGCATGCTGTTCTATACAAGTAAATTTAAAACAAAACTTTGCAGACTAAGAGACTCCTATACATACATCACCCTTGATATGGAGACTATTTATCACAATCCGTGCAGTCCTAATTAATGGCTTGGCCAGCTTAGCAAGCAACAAAATGCTAATGTCGTTGGTGTCCCAGTCAAAACCTAAACGCATTACTCGCTGTCAAAAATGCACAATCAAATATCAAGTGTATTACAACATAGGTGAGAGAATGAAAAAAGAAACCATAAAACAAGAAAAGCTAATGAGAAAAAAGAATTGATTAAAAATTAGGTACTCCTACAAATAATTCAAAAAGAATGAGTCATAATCCATACCTGATCTCCTGAAGTACACCAACGAATCCCTTGAAGACCCAAACAAGGCGCACATGTACCTAATGAAAACTCTTGTAGTTCAATTTTTTCCTATACAAAGTACAGTTGCCAACATGCAAAGTACTATTAGCAACGATTCCTCTCTCAGCTTATTCAATTAGCTTTGACTTTTGTAGAAAAAACAAAAAGAGAGCAATTGACTTACTATAAGCCTTGATTTTCGATGCTTTAAGCGTTTCTGCACACAAAAGAATTTAACAAATCAATCGTGTTACACAAAAAGGAATAAGATTCTACCAAAAGATGGGTAGAAGTTATTATCAAATAATAATTTGCAACCAGTTTTTCCAAAAGCTTAAGCTGGTAAAAATGACTGGTTTTATTATATATATTTATCTCAACAGCTATGAAAGAAAAGAATGACTACATCTTCCAACCAGCATTAAATGTTCGATTCAATCACTTCAAGGGAGAATAATCGTTATTAGTTAGAGCTGCACAAGAGAAAGACAAGATTCTAAGAGAGAAGTGTACTAGATATTAATATTGGAATGTCAGAGTCCCACCTCTACCAAAGATGCAACCTTATTGAAAGCTTGGGGTTCATGAAGTTAGGCCAAACTTCCATCAGTAGCTTGTTCAGCCATTCACAGTG